AAATGTTTCAGCTGTCTATGCGCAACGGGGTAATCCAAGGCATATCCTGAGCGCCTGGGCTTGAATATTTTAGATTGTGCGCAGGTTTGTTTTGCACGTGTTAGATATAACAGGTAGGCTGTACCACAAGAATCCAATAAATAATACCTTGTACAGCTGATACACAAACTCGACAGACACTTTCCCCAGGCAAGAAACCTGAAAAAGTGACAAATGGCGGTCAGCCGCTTTTTCACGTAGTTTACTTGTGGGGTTCAAGGCATGTTTCAGTTGGTTACGACTCCCAAGAACCTGTGACTCCGGTTGCATGACACGAACTGCCCGTTAATTGATATGCCGTAAGCGGACATTTATTTTCTGGTGAAAGCCACGACTGCACACTTTCCGCTTGCGATTTCGAGCCCTTGTTTGTGTAGGTGGTGCGATGTCACTGATGCTGCCTTCTGAAGTCGAGTGTGAAGTTAAAGTCGAGTCACACCTGATGTCGACACACAGATGCCATCAGCATAAATGCAAAGTCGCACACTGCTTGGTTGCTTGCCAACTAGTCCAATGAGTGTTAGGTTGAACAGCATCGGGCTTAGCACTCCGCCTTGTAACTCCTTGGTTACAATAGTACTCGTGTGTCGTGCCATTTTCTGTCTGCACGTGAAATTATCTATAATGTAGGTGGCTCTGAACCCACGTATTTATCGTGCCACCGAGTCCCACTCTTTCTAATGCGCTGAGAATGGCTTCGTGGGTGACATTGTCGTATGCTCCTTTTACGTCAAGAAACAGAGCAGCAGATAACCGTTTGAAGGCCTTCTGGTGCTCTACATATGTTACCAAGTCAACTACATTGTAAATTGATGAGCTGCCTCGTCTAAAACCGGACATGGCATCTGGATATATTTTGTAGAACTCTAAGTACCATTACAGGCGCGTTAAAATCATCCTCTCTATAAATTTTTCCACACAGCTTACGAGGGCAATCGGGTGGTGAGAGGAAATGTCCAAATGTGACTTGCCGGCTTTGAGAAGTGGAATCAGGTGACTTGACTTTCATTTCTGTGGAACCATGCCAGTTTGCCAAGAGTGGTTGTACAGCAGCAAGAATGCCTTCCGAGCTTGATCTCCTAGGTGGCACAGAGCGTGGTTAGTGATGCTGTCAGGTCCTGGCGCTGAAAAACGTCTACACAAAGCAACCGCAGCCTTTAGTTCGTCCATTGAAAACGAACACTCCATTTGGGGATCACGTGAGGATACAGAAATGTCGGGCGTCTTCGTCCCAGTTGAATTTGCCCCGCACGCAATCCTTCGACAGAAATAATCTGCAACATCAATCTCTTTGCAGCGTAAGTAAAGTGCCAGAGATTTGAATCGGTAGTGCTGAGTAATGGTTGTACGAAGACCCCGGACAGTTTTCCAGATTAGTGACAGAGGCTTTCTGGGGTCCAAAGACTCGCAAAAAGATACCCATCGTTGCTTATCCAACTTGTTAATGTGACGCTGTATTTTCTTTTGTGTGCGTCTGGCCACTCAGATTATTAAGTGACTTCGTGCGTCTATAACGTCGTTCTGCACGACGATGAATCGCTCGGAGTTTTTCGAGATCAATGTCCATATCACTGCAAGATGGACTCACCGGCAGCGAACGCGTGGTCGACTGTAGGGCATTCTTTATTGCATCCTCTAGGTTAAAGAGTGAGCCGCTAACATAGTCTTCCATGATTAACTTGTATTTTCGCCAATCGGTGCACTGGATGGCTCCGGAGGACTTGAGACTTGGAAAGCCGTCAATATTCAGATATGTAAAAATGTGGTGACTACCCGTTGTTTCCAAATCTGAAAACCAGTGCACTCTGCTGGCGAACGAGCATGATACGAAAGTGGGGTCCAGGCAACTGCTATAGGCCAATCCGCGCAGATAAGTAGGGCTGCCGTCATTCACGAAGATAAGTTCACATTCAGAAGCGAAAGACACTAACTGTCTACCTCTAGTGTTGACTCTGGAGCTTCCCCATAAGTATTGGTGTACATTAAAGTCGCCAGTTATCACCCATGGCTGGAGAAATGAATTCGAAATTCCGTGCAAACGCTCAAGGTCCAGACGACTTAATGGGGGTAAGTAGGCTCTGATGATTGTGAATGTGGTGTTGTTTTTTACTGTTTGGCAAACGTATTGGTTTTCTTTGTCAGGGGGTACAGGGTGATGAACATGTTATGTCGCGCCGTATGAACACAACGACCTTGCTGCGCTCTTCGTGGGTAGAAAACATAAAGCACTCATATCCAGACAGTCTCATGTGAGTTGACAGGTTCGGTTCATAAATCACAATTATGGAGAACTGGTTCGTGAATACACATTGCCGGAACACGGACATATGCGCCCTAATCCCTCTGGCATTCCACTGAAGGACAGATGCGTTCTTGACCTCCTCTCTAAAAGATAACATGTCGCGGGCAAAAATTTTACCTTAGAGCTGCAAGCACTGGACTGAAGGTGTCCAGCAGCTGGAGTGCGCTCTGCGCTGACGGGGTGTTCATGTTGCTTAGGACCATGCGCATTGCGCTCATAAGGGTCTGCAATATGTTAATGACCTGGCGTTCCTCAGTTGTCTTCGCATCAGTGGTTTATGAAGGCATAGAGGTTGGCGGGATTGAAAGCACCTCTTAAACAGGCTGTGTTCGTAGAAGGGATGGCCACTCTTCCCGAGGTGGGGGTGTTAACCCCGATTCTGTTTTTGGTGTATCCGTCTTCGCAGAGCTTGATGATGGGGGGCCAGTTGTTCTTGCTTGAAATGACGTGTCTCTATCGGTAGATGTCACGTTTCGTGATGATCTTCTGTAGTGACGCCGACGTCGCCTGATAGTAGCAGCGGCTTCTCTGTGCGTTGAATTCTCGCGCATCACGCAATTCAGCACCACGCGTTCATTTCGCACTCGCGGGCAATCTATAGAGGACGCTTTACGAGCGCCGTGGCAGTTGAGGCATGTGAACGCAGTTGCGTGGCAGGTGTCTTCTGAATGAGGTTTGGCACTCCGCGGGCACACGACATTGCTGGTACGTACATACGCCTTTTACATTTCCCATCTTGAAACATCTGTATCATTGTAAGGGCTTCGGTATGTATGGACGGACCTGGTGGTGAACGTGGCCAACTTTGACGTGTGGGGGAAGACTGTCTCTCTCAAAAAAATCTTCAGGCAACGTGACTGACCAAGCCATGTGATGTGCTTGATGAGGATGTCGTCTGTAGTTGGCTTTATCAAGATTGGAAAATCGTCAGCGGGAATGGAAATGTCCACGTCATAAATGACGCCAACACTGCCCTTACAGTCAGTGGGGATCAAAGATTTAACTGTGACTCCCTCGATTTCCGAGATGTTCTGTAGGCTTTGCAGCGCACTACGGTGTAGAACATCAACTGCCAGATCATTCTTCTGTGAGTTGAACCTGACGTCTTAATCTCATTTGGAGCGAGTCCTTCGAGGTATCCAGAGACGACTTGCCTGTTAAGCCGCCGTAGGCTGGCTGAAGGGTCCACAGCCATGAAGAGTATAGTGTGTGGCCAACGCTGCGTGGTAGCCAGCACGGTGGATAAACTCGCCATCGACGATGTTCGTAGCAGTCTCCTTTTTGCATTGCGGCTCATGACGACTGTGTAGTCGTCATCCGATGACTCGAAGCCGTCGGAGTAGAGCTCCGTTGCCTCGCTTTTTGTGCCACTTGAGGTAGTCCCACGTTTCCTAGCCGCTGCCAGACGTGGCGCTTGTCCACCCCTAAACTCCTTTTAGCTCACTCCATCTGGTGGCGCCCGCGCTCCGCTGCGCATGCGCGCCTTCCCCCGCGCTCTCCTCTCCTATGCTCCCCGACTCTCATCTCGCAACGTTGACGCACTCAGCTCTGCTAGACGGCTACGCTCGCTCCCCATCTCTCCTCTAGACATTCTGCCGTGACGTTTACACCCCGTTTGCGCATGCGCGTTGCTGACATACACAAACCCTCGGGGAGCTTCCGTTAAAGGTGCCCTGAAACACTTTTCCGAGTAACTATGAAATTAATTCGCTGGAAAAGCGAATTATCTCACAAAGTGAATGCCACAAAAATTTTAAGAATCTGTCCGGTACGAGCGGAGTTACAAAGATTTGCCACACGCTGCAGTCACATTCTCTCTTCTCTCCTCCCGATGAAAGCGCTGGAAGCTAAGCAGGGAGAGATGGGAAGGGCAAACGGGGCAAACAAAAAATGTGATTCGCGCCACGTCATCTTGACCATTTCTTTTCTTTTTTTGTTTTCGTCGAATACGCGGCCTTTTCATTTGCAGTGCGATCGCGCGCACACACGTGGACGAGTGACGGCCTCTCGCGGTGACCTCTGCAACCACCGAGCGCGCCATGTTCAAATCAGACAATAACTGATAGATTGGCTAACTACGAGTGATTTTTGGGCTTATTCCGTGGTTTGTCGAGAGAATAAAAAGTCGTTTTAGCTGACTTTCATAATTTAATGGGAAATCGAAGCTGCGTGTTGCGCTATATATTTGGCTTGCGTGTTGCTGGGAGCATCTACTACGGATCGGCAGCGTTTTCTGACCATGCTCGAAAAGTGTTGCAGGGCATCTTTAACGAACCGCACGTTGTCATGATATAGCATCCCTCACTAGGCGTCCATCACAGTCCCATCTTTCCAGCGCTAAGTGAAAATGTGAATTTTTCTTCTCGAACATACCCCGGGAGCCGTTGCTACCAGTACTTCAGAACATGATTGTGACCTTTCATTTTCCTGTGACGTTAAGAAATACGGCAACTTTTCACAACATTTATCGATGTGCCAGTGCAATCTACGGTACTTGTATCACAAATAAAATTGTCATATGGGAGTACTAAAGTTAGAAGTTCACCATGACATCGTACGAAGGCAGAAACTACATAGCGATTTGCATTTTCACGTACTCTTTAAATATTGCACCACTTGCGGTGAGATACTTTCTGTTTCAAGTAAAAAATTCTCACAATGTTCTCCAAAATATATATTTAGACATCAACGTTTCAACCTGTTTGTTTATGAACATCCACCTTTTCCAAGACAGTGTCTTGCCTATTCATCTAGCCTAGCATCAAGGAATGAATTGTGCAGATTATTCAACGCCTTCTGTTTCTGTGCCACTCGGGCTACTTTGGCCGCCTTCCATGAATTTGCCAGCCCCGTTACGGAGCATGTCCCAGAGGAAGCTCACGATGCCGCAACGTTCTTCCGTTTCTCCGGTAGGGATGGGCTCTTCACTTGCTTTGGTCTGCCCAACGGCAAGGAGAGCTGTAAAGTGAGAACGCACTTGCTGGATCACAACGCAAGCATTCACACACCCATGAGCTTGGAATTGAAACGTGCAGCGCATTCTCTACAGCTCAGCTGCGAATAAAAGTATGTTACATCATTAGAGAAAACAAATATGGGCCAAGGGCTCGTAAAAAAACTTCCTCCAAAGGAATGTGAAATACTGGTGTCTTCAAATTGATATTGCCACAGGGTCGCGACGTTGACGGTAGGAAGCAGACAGTACTTTGAAGAATAACGTTTTTGTTTGGCTGAACTTGTGGCCACGTAAAAGGAAAGCCAGATTGCAGCGATCCACAGGCACTAATAGCGGCGAACAGAGCGTCGGCCATCGATCAACTGACAAGCGGCGAAGCCTGTCGGCATGTATACTCTTGCCATTGAATATACTATCGTTATCGCTAGCGGCGGCCTAGGATCTCGAATAATCTGCGACGTTCCCGAAGTGGGCGTAATCTTAACAAAACGATCTACTGAAGCCTCGAAGCTTCTCGAAGATCGTTGGTGCGGTTTGCACTGAAGATAACAAAGCCTGAAGAAAGCAACGTGGCAATCGGTGATGGCACCACGTCAAGCACGTAGTTCAGTCCTCAAGAACCTTTGTGGCTCTTGCGCCAATCACTTGTGACCTGTGCTAAACATTGCAGCACAGAGAAAGATTGACTGAGGAACATACACGAGTTGAAAGAGCAATATGCGCTGAAGAGGGGCTCTAGAGTGGCACAATAGCATTTAATCAACTGAATCGTTATCAAGACGGCTTAAGCAAACTGGACCATTATGAATTATTTTGTGTTGCAAGATGTCATCATGGGTACGTCACGTAAGCCACGTTTTAACTGCATCTGCTGCCATGAAACGCTAGATAAACGAACTATTCTGGCCACTTAAGCACGCACAACCACCTCTTTAGTAAAAGCAGATAGAGGCACAATATTTCAAGCTTTTCTAGATTGCAGCAGTCCTTGTTCCCCTTATCGTCTCTGTAACAGTTCATGACAATATCTATTCCCTAAGAAAACACGTGCTAAACAAAATTTGTTGCATTACAACCTGTTTCATGGACTGAAAGGGTATGCGTAATAGGTGTTTTTATTTAGTTTTTTGGGGGGAGGGGGAAGCGTTGCGCATATTCTCGTGGCAATTCCTCTTGTCGCAGTATATAAATGTACGTGGTTAACCCCTGCCAGTTGCTAAAGGAAAGGTTGTTCAGATTCTTGCGAGAGACATTTATAAAGATGTGCCAGTTGTGGTCACTGACAACAAATGAGTTTTTTTCAAGAGGCAGACACAAAATTCGGATATAATATACATATATATATATATATATATATATATATATATATATATATATATATATATATATATATATATATATATATATATATATATATATATATATATACGGATCTTTATTTTTGCATACCTACTACATAGACGCCAAGGTTCTTGCTGATACGGTGATATGTAACCTGCAGACGTTCATAGCCCTATACATACAATTTAATCACCGCCTTGAGTGCTCTGTCGAGGCAGCACTTGTACATCACACCCGCACTTTTACAGCCAGAATAGTGTCACGTGGTAGTGAAGTTACGGATGAACGTACGGATGAACGCAAGGGCGAATGCATGGATGGACGAACGCACGCACGCGCGGATAGACGGATGGACAGATGGACGCGCGGACACACGAATGCACGGATGGACGGAGGCATGGAGGGGTTGGCGCATATACTGCCGCACAGACTGCAGACGGACAGAAGCGAGAACGAACAGATAGATGGAAGCACGTACGAATAGGAAGATGGATGCACGGACGGACGGACAGAATTACTAACGCACGGATGGGCAAACGAACGCTTTGTGCCACTCGTCAGGTGGATATGCTATGATTTTTTGCAGCAAAAGCTGGGATGGCTAAAAAAAATCACACCATATTCATGGAGTGATTGATGATGAATGAGGCGAAGTGTCCATCAGTCCACCCATTCTTCCATTCATCTGTCTTTCCTTGCTTCCAGCCGTCCGTTAGTCCATCTATTGAACACTCCCATCTTCTTGCCATATATCCATCATATACAAGTACCGCAATGCAGCGGACATTCAAGGAATAAACAAGAGATGGCTATTTACTACTACTACTACTACTACTACTACTACATGCATCGGGGACGCACGACCCCACTGCTCAAGGGGCATCGCCCCTAAAACTGTCCGGCAACGGTATAAAGAGCACTCTCCATCAATTACGTCGTTGGTAGCGTCGTACCCAAGCACGTGTGTTATTGGCAGTGTTGTGAGTTGGATGGAGAAGTCAAACACTCGCAACAAAGCGGCGTGGCGGCATCAATGTGATGATTGCAGGAGCGTGTTCAGTGGGGCTAACACACCCTTTCGGTGGCAGCTTCTCCAGTGGCACTTTGGCTTCGGCAGCGATGTCTGGGGCCGCCTGAGGTTCGAGACTAACCACTGTGATTAACACACTACCAAGATCATTTAACCACCCATTACACTCATGACACGGCACTGAAAAGAGTGAACAGGAAAATAGCTTTCTGTTATCGAAACTACTTGACGCAGAGAGAATCATGTTTAGCGAAAGTTACACTTAGTTCCCCAAAAGCTGCCCGCCATTTATGCATGCTTTTTCTAGTCGGGGCTGTGGTCTATTGTCATGGCTGTCACACATTCGTGTCCATGATATAGGGTCTCCTAAGATGTAGTCGGCTCTGGCAGCAAAGTATTGATTTCAAATATCCGCTCGTTTTGGGAATCAACCACTGCACGTATCGAACTTCACAGTATGCACGTATCATTGCGCCGTAATTGGGTTCTCGGAAAGCGTTTATTTATTTATTTATTTATTTATTTATTTATTTATTTATTTATTTATTTATTTATTTATTTATTTATAAGGTACCTGCACTGTTGTTATCAGGCATTATAGCAGTGGTGTATATGCATCAAAAGTAGACAGTTCTTCACATCCTGTACATAAAGGATAGTAAAAATTTTCTCTACATTGTACTTCAACAACAGCTTGTCGGTAACTTCAAGGTGAACTGCATTCTCGACCACGTCATATTCAGTGAATGATTTAGGTCGTCTTTGCGCTTGTGCAGGAGTGTTTCGACGAGATTATCGTGTCGGCAGACAAAGCTTACAGGGCCACCGACATGGCACAGTCGCTGCATCGCTCTAATCTTCATGTAACTACTTGAATGGGAAAGTTAGCGTAGTTGCGTTATGAAAGAACGTTATTTTACCAAACGCAACGATGCCCACAATGAGCAGCTGCCTCCTCAGGAAACCAAGCATCACTTGCGTTGATCTGAAAGAAAGAACGAAATGGTAAGGCCATAATTTTCAGGGAAGCAGCACTGACAACAATGCACACTCAAAGCGCAGTAGTTCGGATTGCTTTCATCAATGTGTGAATGTGGGTTGGCAAATACTCGTCATCATTGTTCGATTCTTCAGCAGTTGATACAGTCGAAATCGAAGGCTTCCATCTGTGACAAAATGCAGCCGCAAAGTATATTGACCAAGCCGCTACCTACATGTTGCGCAAGGACATGAGATAGTTCATCTCTTATCATCCATGTACTGTTTTAGGTGCTTCCACCACACCAAAAATTTCCCGCTAGCATAGTAATAATAATATAATAATACTATTAAACAATCAAAAAAATATTTCACGTGCCCAGGAACACCCTAGTGTCTTTTTGCTGGCTTACACCAAAATAAAACAACAAAAGTAAATATTATATTAATCTTTACAAAAAATTAAATGAAAAAGAGTAAACACGCCGACAAAAAAAAAGCATCGCAAAATAGGAAGCATGAAAGACAAGAAGAAAATCATAGAATGCCAGTCAAAACTAAAGGCAAGCATATTCAAGTATAGGAAAACATATTGCGGTGTATAATTTCTCCAAAGCTGTATTATGACTGAATTACCGCAAGATTCTGCGAACACAACCGAAAGAATGAATGCCTCGCTTGTGAGTACGGTTTGTGTGTGCAGAAGATTTGAGCATGCAATCAAATAAAAAAAACACCAAGATCACTGCATTCATAAACCCTACATAGCAACATGGTATTACCATAGTGCGGAAATGGCATGATGGGTGTTTTGCGAGATATACTCGATTATTTAATCTTTGAGGTATTCAGGGAAACATTATTAATGTGGCACCATTCAGACAACACAAATCTGACAGCAGCCAGCAAAGGCCGTTACCTGAATAAATTTTCCTAAATATCTTTGTCATCGGCATACAAAAGAAAACAATAACGATTTGCAAATGACACGTCGTTAACATAAATTAAAAATAAGAGTGTGCCTAATACCGACCCCTCAGGGACCCCACTAGTAACTTCATGCAGTGGAGACGTTTGGCCATTTACGGCAAGGTAACTGGATCTATGAAGCAGATAGCTGTGCAAGCGGTTCACGACTAACGAAGTGTCTCACTACGTCAAAAGCCTTGCTCAGTGCTCAGGTCACAGTAGACTACGTCAACCTGCCCTGTCTGAGAGACAGGAGGGGCGATTTGGGTGATGAAACTAGCAAGATTTGTGGTAGTCAAGCGGCAAGAGAGACAGCCATGTTGATTAGAAATCAATCATTTTTCTTACGCTAACATACAATATGATGTGAAAATCCAGCTCAAAAATGATGATGATGATGATGTCATAGTAATAATAACAACAATAATACTATTGATTCATTGATTTGTGGGGTTTAACGTCCCAAAACCACCATATGAATCTGAGAAACGCCGTAAGGAAGGGTTCCGGAAATTTCGGCCTCCTGGGGTTCTTTATCGTGCACCCAAATCTGAGCACACGGGCCTACAATATTTCCTCCTCCATCGGAAATGCAGCCGCGGCAGCCGGGATTTGATCCCGCGACCTGCAGGTCAGCAGCCGAGTACCTCAGCCGCTAGACCACCGTGGTGGGGCAACAATAATATTATTCATATATTACTATATTATTACATTGATATTACACAATAATACTATTATTAAATTTCCTAATCATCTAACAATATAATAACGTTTACTACCGTACGTACTCAAATTATGTCGTATGAAACAAGCTGTTGAAGACGCCTTCTCAAATTTCGACCGACTATAAGCTTCCCTAGGGACCCCTAAGTATAATTGCACAAGAGCTAAGATTTTCATTAAAAACAAAAGATAGCATATGCTCGTTATCAATACTTAAACAGAAGTAATTATTGCACGAGAAAAAAATCTATGGTTACAGAAAATTTTTTCTGAAAAACAAAGAGAATGAATACGTACCTGCGCCGATTGTGCAGAGTCTATAGCTTCTTTCGCGCAGCGGCTAGCGTTTAGCCAGTTTTCAATTTTCTCTAGAAGTGGAAGAATTCAGAGTGACATCCTGAAACAACCTTCCTCTCATTATATAATACCAGGCGTCGCCGTTACTCTTCGTGCAAGTTGCGTAGTTTCATGCGCTAACCACGTGCCAAGTTTAATGCAACATTGCGAAGGTGCCGCAATGAGGAAGTGGCGGTAAACTGGGTGGAACATTTTCGCATGAGTCATATGAGACGCACCTGTGCCGCACATGAAGATTCATCGTTATCAGAATGCAGAAACACATGCGTGATGAAATGAATGTGCGATATGCGTCATGAACGTACTTTTAAACCATTATGGCGACACCAGCCACGTAATAATTGACGTGCAGCATCATTAAACAAATACTGTAGTGTATTCTCTAAAACACAAATTTGGAAAAGAGTGACGCTGGGATTTTTTTCTGTGTAACTAGAACTTTTTACGACTATGTTATGCGTTTCACCGAGAATATAAAACATTGCGTTGTTTAGACCCTCTAAAGTCTTTTAGTGATGCAGCTCTGAGAGCCTCGGATTATGTACGGTCATTTCTGAGAGTGAACCTTTGCTGAGGAAGCCGCAGGAACAGCGTGTCGCGAGGTGTTTTTCTGAGCAGTGCTTGAATTATGTAATTTCGACTGCATCAAAACTGCATAACCATACATTGACCTCTTTCTGGTAAGGACATTCGCAAACCTCGTGTCGTGATCTGTACTTTGTTCCTTGGCGTGTGGCATCCTGCTAAGAATTTCCAGCCTCATGTGGTGATGTTTGCCATGCATGAAAAGTGAGTTCCCATGTTCACTCGCGTGCTTCTGCACCCGTCATCAATAAGGCCTGCGCTTATTCTGTCTCTAAGCGTGCTTGTCCAGCTACACACCACGGATTTTCACGTTTCAATGTTGTATCAACGTGAAGTAGTTCTTTCACCACAATGCCTGCATGCATGATTACTGTGGCAGCATTCCATTTTCCTAACAGGTGCATTGCGTGTGCTTGCCAGCGTAAAGACCTGCTTTAACACTGTACAACCAAGGCTGTAGTCAATTATTTTGGGAGTAATAGGTGCTTTTAATGGCACTCGCTCAACCCCGTCCAGATGTAGCGTCGCGAGCAAGCGCCAGAAGCCGCATAGATTTTGGGCTTTTATAAAAATCACAGTATATCCACGGAAAGAATGTTGATGAGTGGGGCGAAGCTTCCGAGGGTCCTATTGGTAAACCCTGAATCATCCATCCGTCCATCCACCTGTCTCGTTGCCTGTCTGTCTGTCTGTCCGTCCGTCCGTCCGTCTGTCTGTCTGTCTGTCTGTCTGTCTGTCTGTCCGTCCGCACCTACTGAGTTAGTCATCGAACTATAGGCTGTCACGTACCGCGAGCTAGTAGGCCCAGACCAATAATGGCTTTAGCACCTACGCCCCTAACACGATAATTCTGGTTCAACGAGCCAAAACCACTACACGATTATGAGAGATGCCGTAGTGGAGGGATCTGGATTTTTTTTTCTTTGACGTGCACCTAAATCGAAGTACACGGGTTTCTTGTATTTTCGTCCTTATCGAAAGGGCAGCCCCGTGATTCGATCCCGGGACCGTTGGGTACATGAAGCGTTTTCGGTTAGTGCATATTGCTGAGACACGGTCAGTTTAGCTGAAAAACGACCATCAAAACGGGCTGATGCTCTTTCACGCTTCACTCAGTTATAAACGTGTTCGCTCTATCGCGAGCACTGCTCAGCCACTAGATGATGAAGAAGAAGCGTCAGCAATCAGAGAGGAGAAAACGGCTCATCAGAGTATCAGCTGGGTCTAAAGGCCTCAGGCAGGGTCAATAAAAGCCTGATTTAAATACCTTTACGGAATCGAGTTTTTCAACACGTCTGCCGTATCCCTAACAAGTGAAGCAACAGATTCGTTTTATATGCCGCTGTTCGCACGTACCTTATGCGCACGCGCACTGAGGGTTTTGATACATATTCTTGTGTAAATCGCTAGCGTAGGCAAGTGTAACTTGAGTTGATCGTATATGCTCTGCACAAAGTAACGGGTTGTAAACTTTTGAAGCAAAAAAAATGGCAGCATATCTACGTGGTGGATGAAGGAGAGTGGGGCTAAGCATCCATCCGTACATTCGTTCTTGCTTCCGTCCGTTCATGCGCCCATCTGTGTGACTGTCCGTGCGTCCTTCCACCCGTCCGTGAGTGCGTCTGTTCGTGCGCCCGTCCCTACGCTGGTCCATGCATCCACCCCTGCGTCCGTCCATGCGTCCATCCGTCCGTGCAGCCATACATGCGCGTTTATCCATGCATCTGTCTGTGTGTTCATTCATCCATCAAGTCAACACTACATGTACCACAACCTCGCCTCTTTTCATCATATATTCTGCATATAGAAGCACCGCAATCCAGTTGACATTCCAAGGATGAAACGAGAAATTGCACACGCACATTTTCTTACGGCTTGCACTTCATGTCTACTTCCCACCTTTAACCACCTCGAGTTCATGGTATATACTAGTTCACTGTATTCACGGCACTGCGGCCCAACGCTCGCTAAACCTTTATAAAACCAAGAAGGTTACGCCCAGCGAATACAACCTAGCAACCCTTTCTTGTCAGATGGAGCTCAATGTACATGCCAATGGCTTCTAATTGGGAATGAAAGACAGGAGGATTCGGCTTTTAGTTAACGCACACGCTGCGAATTTTTTTATTGTTAAACAACGCACAGGAGAAATGTCCCGCCGGCAACACCTTGCAGATAAAAGCGTAAAACTGGTTACGCACTACGACTACGACGAGGGACGAACTGGTGCCCCTTTAAGGAGAGAAAAAATCAGAGAGAATAAACCTTTAGGAGCTTCGCCCATAAAAAAATTAATTAATTTATGTCAACTTGTTATAGCAAGTATTTGGCCATCAACGCGGGTTTTATCAGTATGAGGCCGCCACGACCATGATGTCCTCCTGTGACGTGCAGGTCAGCATTTTTTTTGTGACGTAAACAGCCAATTCTCATGCACCATAACCATAGAGCAGGTAATACCGGTGACAAAAAAAAAATGAGATGGCAGCCCCATGTGAGTTTTTGAGGGGGAAGAATGTGCAGGAAAAGCTAACTCCACCCGCAATCGAACCGGGAAAAATGCTTTTGTTCTGTTCTACAATGTTGCCCTTGCTGCTAACACGTGGGGCAGAGTTCATTCTTCACTGATGAATTTTAACCGTCGGTAGCCTAATGTGTTCTTTTAGTTTGTTGCTTTTCTTGTTTGTTGTGAGAGGTGAAGTTCAGTGCTGATTTAAACTTCTTTTACGAAATGTGTGCTCTGTAAGATTAAAAGACTTTTGAATACGGCCCCCACCCCACCCCGTCAGTTTCAGGCCGGTTTGAATATTAGTTCTATTATTTTTGTTCCACGTATGAGGTTATTCCGCATCCGCTGAGATGTAGCAGATGCGAAGAAAGCACGTAGAGTGGGAACTATTCTTGAATTTTTGTTATATATATATATATATATATATATATATATATATATATATATATATATATATATATATATATATATATATATATGTGTGTGTGTGTGTGTGTGTGTGTGTGTATACCTAAGGGCTCGTTCTTTCGTGTTTTAACACAATATTAATGAGATATAACAGACAGTAATGCCAAGGAATGTACAGGGGAAGTTATTAAAACCAATGAAATGTAAATAGGAAGAAAGAAAAGTGCATGAAAAAATAACCAGCCGTGGGCAGGAACCGAACCTACGACCTTCGAATAACGCTTTCGATGCTTTAACCACTGAGCTACCACAGCGGCCTTCCCTCCATCCACTTTTTGGGGTTTATATGTGAATTTAGAAGTAGGAGTGACAGTCAGCGCCATCTATAAGCCAAGCGACGAGTGTGAAAACACTCTTATGCGCATGTTTGGCGTCACGTAGCACGTGAACTTATTATGAGCGGGAAGCTGATTAATTGTCCCTCTTTTACAACCTAAACAAACCAAGTCTGCCATTACGAGACCCTCGTTCAATGAAATAAGGGAAAGAAGTGTATACCTAAGGGCTCGTTTTTCCGTGTTTTAACACAATATTAATGAGATCTAACAGACAGTAATGCCAAGGAATGTACAAGGGAAGTTATTAGAAGCAATGGAATGTAAATAAGAAGAAAGACTGACTTTGATATGTTGTTTCGAGATGGCCGATTTTTTTCATACGCTCTGATGATATCTTTTTGAACTGCTGATATATACATATCGAGGTGTTTGTCCCTCTGCTCACCTGGACACCATGACTTGTCACCACCAATCAATCTATTCTCAGAACGAAAAACACTCGATGAACTACGAAAAAACACTGAAATTACCATCAAACCAGCTGATAAAGGGGGCTGCATAGTAACTCTAAACACTTCGGACTACTTAAAGGAAGGGGAACGACAACTATCAGACACAAAATTCTACAAAGAACTTCCAACGCACCCGACTCCCGAATTTGAAAGGGAGATAAAAGTAACCCTAAATAATTTCCGCCGGGAGGAGAAAATTACCGGTAAAGTGTTAAAAGTAATGTTACCGGCCCATTCTGTTCCCGGTCGATTCTATTTGCTCCCCAAAATACACAAGGCAGGCAATCCGGGACGTCCGATAGTATCCAGTAACAGCACATCAACAGAAAATGTTTCAGAATTCAATAATTCCTTAATAAAAAACGTCCCCCCAAATTTTTCCTATTACCTAAAGGACACAAATCACTTCATATGCGAAACTTCAAGTCTCGACATCCCAGGCGGTAGTTTTCTGGTGACCATGGTGACCATGGACGCCAACATACCCCACCATGACGAAATAGCGGCCATGGTTTCTGAATATGTAAAATCTGACTCATCAACGAGTGTAAGTGGTGAGGTACTGTTTACACTTCTTGAACTTGTACTAAATTATAACCATTTTGAGTTCAATGGCAAGCATTTCCTTCAGGTCAGTGGCACTGCAATGGGCACGAAAATGGCCCCAAACTTCGCGAGCACCTTTATGGTTTCACTTGAAATCCCATTCATTGAGCGACGCAC